GTGTGTGTGTGTGTGTGTGTGTGTGTGTGTGTGTGTGTGTGTGTGTGTGTGTGTGTGTGTGTGTGTGTGTGTGTGTGTGTGTGTGTGTGTGTGTGTGTGTGTGTGTGTGTGTGTGTGTGTGTGTGTGTGTGTGTGTGTGTGTGTGTGTGTGTGTGTGTGTGTGTGTGTGTGTGTGTGTGTGTGTGTGTGTGTGTGTGTGTGTGTGTGTGTGAAATGAGGCAACCCCCGGAAAACCCAAAATGAGTCGTTTGCCTTGAGGGTCCCCTGCCCAAAGCGAAGCCTTCGATGCCCCTCCTTCCACGCGCTTTCCTGCAGGTCCCGTACGCCGGCGCCCGGCCTCGATGCGAAGACATCCAGTCGCTCAGAAGCTGGCCCCTTGGAAAAACCAATGGAAACAAAGGTTGGAAAAGGCAAGCAAAGATACTAACAAGACAACTTTTGGCTTGGGATCCCGGCAGAAAAACTGACAAAGGGTGGAATTGTTGAAAAGAGTTGCAGAGCCACCAGCACCCAGACCTCAACTGACGGGAAAAAGATCTGCCGCGCACGCGCCAGACCGAGCCTCCGGCAAAGGCACTGTCAGCGTCTGGCCAGGCGAGGCCTGACTCAGACAAAAGCAAACCGCTTGCAATGCTTCCCTTCAGAGATCACCAACGTTAGCGGCTCCTTGGACCGTGAGCACTTGGGAAGAGTTGCTTCAGATCATCTCTGCCGATGTGTTGCCTGCGTTGAGTTGGTCTCCGTGTCAATGAAGGGGGGGAGGGGCGGGCTATGCTCCTTCTTGCCCAGTGGCAATTCAGCAGCTTCGCGTCTGAGCTCCTGGCGAGCGGCTGCACTTCCACCAGTGCGCCACGGGCATCAAAGCCTGGGGGAATCGCAACAGGAGAACGGCACTGATCAGCGACATTAATTACATAGGACCTCACCCAGCATGGTAAGTTTCTTTCAAATGTTTTATGGAGTGAATGGCACCGATAGCTTCGGAGCACCAAACTCAAATTCCAAACTTACTTCATGTAGTCCAGACACAGGGCGCGCATGCTCTCACGGAATCCCGACATCGAAGCTTTCGACATGTCGCCTGCCAAACGCAGCGGCTGTGCTTTCATGCTCTCTCCGCCCGGCAGGGACACATCCAGCACCTCACTTTGCCAGGTGACTGGCGAAAAACACAGAGATTGAGCCATCTCCAAGCTATGCCGTGGCCTTCCACAACTCAAAGCTGCGTTGGAAACTCATTGCGCCAGTGGAACTTGAGGAATCCAGACACCCGAAACACGCAACCACGGCCCGAACTTGATGCGACTCAAGTGTGGGCCTCAGGCAAGGCAGTGCAGCGCGTGTAGGCCGGATGGAAGGCCACGACCTGAGAAGTTGAGGTTTCGTCAAAGCGCTCGTCTTGCGCTCGTCTTGCGCAGGAGGTACACACGCAACTTATATCGCTCCAGGTGACGGCGCACAGCCTCATTTCTCTCGCAAAATACAGCACATCCGGACATCGCACCTCGGAGCTCGACCTGTATTGATGGCCCACTTCCTCCCCATGCAGCAGAGTCCTCCCTTTTTTTGCGGGCACGCCGGGCACGCCGGGCACGAGATTCCTCAGAAGGTCTCCGACACGCTGAGGCCCTGGCCCTGGAGGCGTGACATGGTCCCAACACAATGAGACCTTCTTGAACAATGTAACAGCCCTCCCAAAGTATGAAAGCCAAGGTCAAACCCAACTGCGAGCCTTTCTACAATTCTTTGTTTCGGGAATAACGTCAAAAAGCATTTTTTGGATGTCTCTGCTCTTCCCGAAAATCCCCAAAAACCCAGACGTCCAGCAGCCAATGGCACTTTGGTGACTCCGGGCCTTGGCCCGGCTCTCGGACCAGTTACTGGTCTCCCCCTTGGGCCCCTCCGGAGCCCTCGCAACATCCTCCGGACTGATCCGCCGCACTCGGCCCTGAGACGTGGCAAGGACGACTTAAGATTTAGGATCTGGACAATGCGAAATGATATGGTTGTATAATATGTAAATGTGTGTATACATAGATGATAGTATGCATATGTATACACCACTGGGTTGGGCATTCGACAAAAAAAAAAAAAAAACATAATTTTGGTTTGATGACGTTTTGCAGGGGTAAGAACAATGCACGCTTGGGAGAAACGTTGGAAGTTGGGCACTTTGCTATTGGCGAGATTTAATTCAGGAATTGGTGTTGTTCTATTTTGCTTCATGCTTTTGGTTTGTTTTCACTCCCAGCGCTAAAATTATGTATTGAGAGAGTCGTCCAACAAAATACACTCGTTTTAGGGTGGGTTGGGTGATTTATTGGATGACTAGTGCTGGTTTGTCAAGAGGTTTTTTGCTTTTTCTTTTTTCCTTTTTCCTTTTTTTTCGGGGGTTTGGGTGGGGTGAGGGTGATTGCAGGATTGGTTTAGTGCGGGTTTAAATTTGGCTTACGCTGCGAATAGTGGAGGTTTTGGGGTGGGTAGGTTTAGGGTGGGTTAGAGTTGGTTTGGGGTTACAATTTTGGGTAGGTTGAGTAGAGGTTTGGGGATGGCTTACTTAGAGCTGGTTTAGGGTGGGTTAGAGTTGGCCTGGCATAGAGTTTGTAAGGCCAAAGCAAGCCGAAAGTTGGGCTTACGAGGATGTCTTTAGGGTTCGTTCAGGGCCGGGATTTGGTATTTCCCTTGAGGCTTGTCACAAAGCCGAACAATGGCCCTATACAGAAGAGGGGGGTCGAGGGGCTGCACCGCATAAGAACACAAATAATGACGCACTGCGCAGTTACAAACACTAGCCTGGCAGTTGCTGATGCTGAGGATGAGGAAAGCCAATGCCAAAAGCCGAAAAACAAACCATCCTCCCGAAAACACAAAAGCCCTGAAAAAGGAACAGAACAAATGGTCCTGCCATCTTGCGATTTATGACTTTAGCGTCAGCCAAGCCCACGTGGGCACCGACGCTGACCCCTTGGCCCCCAATTCCGCTGCGCAAGTCTTGCCCAAATGGCCCCACCCACACTTGTGCCGCATTCAGAACCTGAATATAAAAAAAGGGCCAGGGCTGTCAACAAAATGCCCGTTTTCTTTCCGACGGCGACCGCGCCTGCTTCTCCAAGACTTGCAGGAAATCGACGTCTGCCTCGGAGGCCGCTGCGCCGGCCTGGCTCCAGGACCACTGGAGCGCCGCCAGGCTCCAAAGCCTCCACCAAAAAACAACAATCTGCACTTTTGGTTGAGACGCGCTAACCCCGAAATGACCTTGGGTAGGAGTATTCTGCTTCAAGGGCCAGGAAAATCCCCTTTTGGGGTTAGGAGGTTGCCTGCTTTTGGTTGAAGGCCTTGCGTCAAACCGAAGCTGAGCATCTCCCTAGAACCTGCCCCCTCGATTTCCATACGACCACATGGCTGTTGCGCCTCAATCCTTCGCGCAGGTGCGACCTCAGGCGCCGGTGAATGGCGTTCATGAGCTCTGGCTGCCACTGGCCCTGGCGTGTGAAGGCCACCGCCACCATGGGCAGATCCTGGGCTCTCGTTGGAAAGAGAATCCAAGCAAAACAACATATATACATATTTATACATATAATATATATATATATAAATTTATATATATATATATATGTCGTCACCATCTGAATCATAGCGCTCCTAGGACCCTTGAAATGGATGATCCACTTGCATCGAGCGGACAAAGAATATGGTGCCGTACCAAAAGAGCAAAAATGTTGACAAAAACAACACCATAGCCGACCATAGCCATAAACTGTTGTCCTTAAGGAAGACCAAGCTCCAGCCATGACGCGTTTGGGCCCAATGGCTCAAACTTGTCCAACGAGCACGCCTAAAGGAACCCATTTGGCGGAGCCCTGAAGACATGCCTGGGCCCTTCATTCCACCGGAAAAAGGCGAAACGTGCGGTGATAAGACGTCCGGCTGATGTCTTTGTTGAAGAGCGAAGTGGGTTTGACAGCCGCAGTGTATGCATGCCTAAGGACTCGGCACAAAGCTCCACCAATCTAGAGTCCCGTCGACTCCGCCCTAAATGATGCTTCTTTTACCATCCATGTTTCGAGGTTGATTCCGTGTTTCACGGACAAAGCCCAACGACCCCAACGACCCTTCGCCACGGCGCCGTCTGCGCGGAGAAGTCCGACAAGCCCCGCGCCTCCGCCACCACCCACGCCGCCAGCGCCTCCATCAGCGCCGCCACCTCCGCGCCCTGCTCCTCCCGCGGCCGGGCGCCGAAGCCCCAGGCTACCTGACGGCCCGTCTTGCGGGGAGCTACGGGGCGCCCCCTGGTTGGTGGCTTTAAAGGGAAACCAAAGAAAATGCAAAAACATGTTTTTCCAGTTTGGGGGGGGGCTTTAAAGGGAAACCGAAAGAAGAAAAAAGAAGTGTTTTTCCATTTTTGGGGGTCCTCTTCACACCCATGTGGCCTCACGGACAATCTTGATGTGTGCAACAAAACGCGGGCAAGTTGTCCTCCATTTTGTGGGAAACTGTGGTTGTTCGTTCCCCCACGCTCTCCCCGAACCGAAAGTAAATGGCCAATAATATGGTCAGTGCCCATATTGGGTGTGACCTTTTCTGGGGGAACCTTTTGGGGTGTGGTTTCGAACGAAAAGGAAGTAAACTTGAGACCAGACATTGACATTTAGGAGGTCTGAGTATTTAGAAATAAATAAGCCTAATGGGAGGCTGGGGACAGACAAATCGGCGGGTTTTGGACCTGTCGCCGGGAATACTCAAAACTAGACACTTGGTGTTCCCAAGTAGATGACCAGTGGAAGCATGCTTGGCAAAAAGACGAGGACAATGGCTCGCTGGATGGCTGGATACCTGGATAGCCACGCGCACCACTGCAATCGGACCACTCACTCAACGCGCTGACACCTCAGTCTGCTTGCCTCAAGCCTCAAATGGTTTCCAAATGAGCTTGTGCCCCCTGCGGTGCACTCTGCACAATGATGCTCAAAGAACTCTGGGAACCCAACGCAGCGAGCACAGGCATCCTGCTGGACACCAGTGACTATGATCATGCTTGCCAATGAGCAGCACAAAGGGAACAAATAAACCTCATTAAACTCACGGGAAGACAAGTTAGAGAATGCACAGGGTTCGCAAAGACTTCGTGGTGAACTGTCCACCATTTTCAGATCATCACACTCGCTGCTGGACTGTTAGAAACCAAGAGCACGTCACTGGCTTAATGCTGATGAAAGCAGGAACTTGCGCACATGCAACTGAGATCGTCTCTCGTCGATATTCAACAATGACTTCCAGCAAGATCATCCATCTGCACAAGGCATCCACCTTTGCAGCTGCCTCTTGACTGACGATCATGTCGGTTCCCAGTTCAGAATCTTCACCTTCCCTCCGAGCATGGCTCGAGGAACATTCCGGCAACGATCTTTGGAATACCGCGGGTGATCGGGCAAGCTGGGCGCGCCTGCAAAACCGAAAATCCCTCTAGCAAAAGCGGCCGAGCCGAATCAAACCAGATCTCGAATGAGCAGAGATACTAAGAATGATGAATGAAGGAGGTTCAAAGCTAAGCAAGGTGCAAAAACTCGTCCAAGCCCGAAGTCCTGCTTCTCCAAATTTGACCAAACCCAAGCCCCGGGGTTCGGCTCCACAGCGTCACCCGTCGCCCCGCCTGCGCCACGTCCATGGAGCTGAAGCGCCCCAGCTGCCGGGGCACCTCCGCCGCCAGTGCTGCCATGGCTGCCGGCGCCTCGCAGCAGTCTCCCAGGTCCAGCACCCCCAGGCCGTAGGCGGTGTTCGCGAGCGCCTCAAAAAAAATCCACCCGCAGGCCGGCTGTGGTCGAAACTTAAAACCCAATAAAAACCCCTGGAAAACATGAGAAAAAATAGGTGGGGAACATCCGCCCCAAAATGGAGGCATAGGTGACTGACCCATGGCCAAAGGGCTCCGTCGTGTTTCTTTGTTTCAATGCATTGGGTCCCCCCTTTTGCTTGTGGCTGGAAAGGGAAACTTCAAGAGGAAAAGCGGTTGGCCGTGTTAATTGGATTTATTAATTTGGGGGGTTTTCTTAAAGAAGAAGACATACCCAAATGTCTTGGAAGGAAGGAACACCAGAATGATTGAAAAGTGGAAAAGAGAAGCTAAGCCGTGTACATATAAGAAACCCAAAAGGTAGCCCTAAAAACAGGTTGGTGTCCCTCGAGTTGTCCTTTGGCCACCAGGGGCCCGCAATTGCAGAAACCACCCAAGGGGAGCGCTGCTGCTGGGAAAAAAAATAACTAGTGGGCCGAGAATTTTGAGAAGGGAAAGGATCACTAAGGACCATTACGACCAAGCAAAGGGCAAAGGCAAGGAGCTGCAAACGGAACGTGCAACAACAAATGTTCACATGTTCTCCTCGGCCCTTCATGAATGTAGTTCCTCTTTTATTTTCACCTAAGCAATGGAGAATACCAAGTTACTACAAGCAATGTTTGAAGACCTAGGGGAGCATGTGTTTGCTCGTTGTTGGTTGATTGTTCAAGCGAGTTCGAAGTCACCAGTCATCGCTATGCAACAAGGAACTCATACCGTTCAGCCCATGTTGGACCACCACCTCCCAGCCCCGGCCTGGGGGTTCATGTTGCCAACCTCTTGGGGCACCCACCTGAGCTGTATCTCAAGAGTTTGGAAATCACCACGCCCCATTTCGTGTACCATCTGCCCCACCCCCCGTCCCCACCCTCCTCCTCCTCCTCCTCCTCCTCCTCCTCCTCCTCCTCCTTCCACACTGGCCCAAACGCGGAGAAGAAAAAAAAGAGACGGCTTCCTCCAAAGCGCTTGGCCAGCGCGGCCGCCAGGTCCTCCGCCACCCACGGCAGGTCCTTGCGCAGGGAGGCGCAGGCCACCAAGATGTTGGCGATCTCCCGGGCCCGGAACTCCCGGCGGTCCGCCACGCGGCAGGCCTGCTTCGTCAAGGCCACCTCGAAATTCTCGAGGCGCGACCGCAAGGTGGGGGGGAATTTTGGTGGGAGTTTTGGGATGGGCCGTCTTGTGTCAGCTGAGTCACAATCAAAACCTGACATCAAAATGGTTGACCCGGGTCTTGATTGTGGCCCAGCGGTTTTGGGCTCCCTCGCACGGTTCTCTCGACTTTGAGCCAAGGTCGCTAAGCTGGGGCTGCGCCGGTGCTTCTCAGCCAGCGGCGCCTGTTTCTTCAAGGCGGCCAACTTGGTGAAAGCGGCGGTGATGTGGATGTGATTCAGCATGGTCTCGTCCATGGCTGTCGTCAGCGTCCACATGAACTCTTCCATACTCTGCGACCTCTTAATGAAGGTCGTCAGAGTCACTGGGCTTTGGATCTGGAAACGAAAGCGCTGCTCCCTCTCCTCCTTGGTGAGGTTTGCCTCCTCCTCTGGCTTCCAAACTCTGGGCGCTCTTCTGTCGCCACGTGGCTGGGACCTCCCCCGCCTCTCCACACCCTCTTGCCGCTGCCTCTGAAATGGCCTTTGTGGCCTTTGTGGCCTCTCTGACCTCTCTGGCCTCCGCCGGCTATCCCTTTCCTCAGCCAGCCAAACAAATACTGCGAAAGGAAAGCTTGCAAGTCTGGCAAGGAAACGCCAACGGCCATGCACCAGAAGCGCTGGTGCCCGCTCGGCCAAGTCTCCCTGCGCAGGTCCGTCGTGACGATGCCCCCTCGCTGCTCGAAGGGGTCCGCAGCCCGCGCTACCCGCGGGCGCGCGCATTCTCTGGCTCCGGGCACGAAGCTCAGACCCAGACCCAGCAGAGCCAGCGACACCCGCAGCGCGCGCCGCGTTGCCGGCATGGCCCGCGCGATCTGTGGAACTAACTTCCTGAAGCTTCGGGAAATCTCCAAGAACCTCTGCAAAACCTGGCGCTCTTGGTATGCCTCACTGGAGTTGACGGTGTTTCTGGCTGAAGCAAACATGTCAAGGTTCGGAACTTGCCATGTGCAAAGCCGATCCACAAATGAAGGAAGCGGCGAATGAAGAGAATCAGTACTTTGGTAGCAACCAGCTCTTGTCTTGGCCAAAATCCCAAACCCAGTCCGCCCGAGGGCCCAGCGCGCACGCCTTCCGAGCGCCAAGCCTGGCAGATGTTGCATGCCACTCTTGTTCCGGCGGCTCCCGTGGGAAACTGGGCGCAAAGTTGGAAGTTGGTCGGATCAGCTCCTTGGGGAGGACTCTAGAGATCTCTGTAGCTAAAATCTTGGGGGGCTTTCGGATGGCCTGAACCCACATAGCAAGAAGTTGGTGCAATGCTGAGTTCCCAGGTGAACCAAGTGTCCGTTTACTCTCTGGGGTAGCCAGGCCTGGCCACCCTCCAAGCGCTTTTGGAAGAACGCTGAGAAGTTCTGAAAGTTGCGCCAGGAGGCGACTTCTGGACACCTTCAGCAACGTGCTTCAACATGAAATGCCGCTCTCAGAAACAGCAAATGTCAAATTGTCAAAGAACTGTCTAGTTCTCTCATGAGGCCATCGCCCAAACCTTGGCTATTCCTCCGGCCTTACCCCGCAAAGTCAAGGTTGACTCGCTGCCCGGTGCCGAGTGCCCGGGCACAAGCACCACAGTGGTGGCAGCACCTGGCGCCAGACATGCGCTTGGCACTGGATACAACCTTACGATTCAGCCGAGCAACCAAACTTTTATCCGCCCTTTCACCTAACACCGAAGAAAAGCACGTGCGCTTCTGAACCAAAGCCGACCTGCCAACTAGCCACAATTCACACAAAGCTCCATCTTTGAGCAATGCCCGAACCAATCCTCTCGCACTGCCGCCTGCGCTCTTTTCTGGCTCACAGCTCCGCGCGTTTGGAGACCAGCAAATCCACCGCCCGCACCAGTTCCGGACCCAGAGTCTGGGTCTCCGCAATGAGGCGCTGAGTCTTGTCCCGATCCCCCAAGGTGTTGTAGGCCATCAGCAAGTGGAACCTCAGCCCAACGCAACCACTGGATACAACGCAAAACGTCGGGCGTTTCCAGTTGCGGGGAATTTCAAAGGCTCCAGGCACAGGGCCCTCGGCACCTTCTTCAGTCCAGGCTACCGGCTCGTAGCACACAGTGGGTTTGCGCGCAAACCCCGCTCCAGATATTTGGCCATCTGCTTGGCATAGTCAGATCTGCCCTGCACGCAAAGTGAGCAATGTGCCCGGGCGACCCCCAAGAAAAGCTGGACCCTGGTTGCAAAGCAAGAGTTGGCTCAGTGGTGCTGTCTCCCAAGGCATTTGACGCGTTGCCACGTCACGGATCATCGCAGCTGAAACTCAAACCTCAAATCACCGCAGTTCAAAGAGTCCCGTTGTGAGGACCCTGGGCCGAATTCTTCTGCTCCCTCAAGAAAATTGCTATGAGGACCCACGGGGGCTGCGGCCACCTTCAATGAGTTGCATTTGCGTCTTTCGTGAAGCCCGAGGAAAGGTAGCCAGAGTCCCAAGTCCCCTCATGAGTTCTGCCGAGATGGAGTTGAAGTTCTGGGCGATCGCTATCCCTTTGTCAACCGGTTTATGCATGGCCGACTCACAGCTCGCCTGGTGCACCTGCCCCCGCGTCAGCCACATCTCCGCGTTGCTGGGGTCCAGCTGACAGGCGCGCTTTGCCCGCCGCAGGGCCTCCTGTCAAGCCCGACTCTCTGATGGGTCAGCCCTTGGAAACCAAATTTGCAACGTTGGAATGGTCTCTGGATTCTTAGGACCCACCTACGCATCCCACGTGGGAAAACTAGGAAAATGAGCAACCTGCAATTTGGGCGCGATTGGGGTTTTGAAAGATTCCCTTTTGCAGGCGACAGCCGCTGGATGCTATCATCTTACGGCACTGGAGGCAGGGCAAATGACGCCGCAGTGAGGGTTGCAAGCTCTGCTTTACAAGGGGAAATCACTGGGAACAAGACGCCTGCTTACCAATCGGCAAACGGCACATGGAGAAGCATAAATGGCGTGTTTGGCTGTGTCCTCTTGCAGAGTGGCATTTTGTTGCGTGGCTCTTGCAGCCTATTTGCTTCAGGCTAGGAGGCCCAGCGCGCGGTGGCTTTGTGCTGTGAGAGATTGCAGTGGGAAGCGCCGGGGAAGCGCTGCCGTCGCTGTCTTGCCATATGCCGGCCAGCGGTTCGGGCGGAAGCCCGCTGGGCCACACTTTGGGTCTCCGAGCCTGAGGGGCGCTTAGCCATTGCGAAGCCAGGGAGGAGTCAAGGTTAGGGTGTAAGTTCAAAAAACATCCAAGCATCATGGTGGAAAAAAGGCGGCGCCCGGCCCGTCTTGTGTGTTGTGTGTGTGTGTGTAATTCATTAAACACAGGCCAAAAACAAACATGAGTTTGAATAGGATGAGTCGCCTAATGGATAAGGCGAACACATGACGATGGTGGTTTGAGTCCACCCTGGTCCGTGTTTTTTTGGTTGTTCACTCACTCAAAATAAATCGCACGTGGGTCCACGAGAATGACCAGGCCACAGCGCGCTCTTCATTCCGGACATGGACTTCTGATCCAAAACCTTCTAAATGTTCCAAGGTTGCCACTTCCCGTCCTTCTGCTGGCCTTCCTTTATCGCCTGCACCGCCGTGCGCCGCTGGAACACTGCCGTCCCATGACTCGCGGCCCGGGCGTGCTGCACCACGGCCACAGAGTCGCCCAGGCACGCGGTGGCGTGCTGGAAGCCCTCCGGCACCTCCGAGCGTCTGCCAAAGTGAACCGCCCGCGCGAGTTGCCGTCAGCGCCGGAAGAAAGGCTTTCACAAGAACTGTGACAAGAGGCATCAAGTTCAACGAGCAAAACAAACAAAGAATGAACTAGGGTCCTGCGTCTAGCAACATGGCACGTTGCAGCCAGGGAGCGTAGAGCAAATCACCGGGCTCGGTGATGCACTCCCACTGTGGCGGCACGAAGTCAGCCCCTGTCCTGGGGACGAGACAACCTTTGGCAGACTCGCGCACAACCATGGTTGTTTAAAAACAAAAAGAAAAAAGAAGTGCACCAACAAACTCTGTCAATGTCGATTGGCGAATGCGTCCATGTTTGAAAGCAAGGGATGCCAATGGATTTGGTTTGCCCGGCGCAGACCGCTCCTCCGACCCCTCAACCAAGCTGCATAGTCCTCGGACTGCAGGACCCCCGTGGGTGTCATCTTCGCGGGGGCGTAGATGCCCCAGCGCTTCCGCCCGTGAAGCTGGAGGTGGTAGGAGTCCTCCGGGTCAACACCATGGCGGCGTCTGTTTCTATGTTTGTTGGTTTGTTCGTTGATTTGTTTGGTTGGAACACACCGTTGACCGTAAAGAAGCGTCCCAAAGCCCGATGCCAGTCGCAAAAGCTATCTGGAGACCTATGAATTCGGAACACGCCGCGTTTCGGAGCCGCCCACGCAGCTCGCGCACTCCTCGTGGCTGTGAAAGGCGAGACCCTGACCCACGCTGCCCAAGGCGAATCGCAAAGGCACCGAGCTGTTGTCGTAGGTGCCCAGCTCCGCCAGCAACGGCGGCAGCGTCCAGTTGCTGGCCAGGCCGCTGCTCTCCATGAACCTCGGTCCAGGTCCATCAGGTCCACATGCAGCCCAGGCGGAAAGAGAACATCAGAACATCCATGTGTTGAATCCATTGTCAATGCTGCTGCCAAGAGGTACAGCCGGAAAGAATGAACTGTTTGTGTTGCAACTCATCCGGTCAGCACGTGCCTGTTATGAATGGCACGAGAGCAACTCTCAACATGTTCCTCTTCCGATCTGATAACGCCACTAAGGAAAGGACTCGCCGAAATCGAAAAGATACTTGTCGCTGGGCATGCTTCCGATAAAGTCTGCCAAGGGAAGCTCCTCGTCTGGCTGTCCCTGCACGTTGAAGAGGAAGCCACTTCCCACTCGCACCTACGCTCGGCTGTTGCAACAGGCACAAAACATCACCCACTTCTCTCGGAGAGACATCTTGCACCGAATTGTCTAGATGTTCAAACATATTAAGTCTTCCCGCAAACGCTTGCACCACAACAACGAAACCAAGCCAAACCAAAAAGGAACCCCAGACGGGCTCATTCTTTCGGGACGCTCGGGCCTCCAGGTGCCCGAAGTCCCGCATCAGCGCTTGGCGCTCCGTGCGCCGCGTCAGCGGCCCCGGTCCCCAACGCAGCAGAGCGGGACGCTTCAAGTGGAACCTCAGGGAGCGAGGTCGCGAGGTCCCGAGGCCGCGACGCAAAGAAAAGAGCCTTGTCGAACAAGAAGATGTCTGACGAAGTGGAGTCGGACAACTCTGATGTTGGGGGCTTGTGGCTTGCGCCCCCAAGTAATGCAACCGGCATGTTGAAATGCCGCAGCACACTGCCTGAGCAGGTCCTATGCCACTCCGCTTCATAGGGGCCTGCGAATATGTTTGTTACTACAGGGAGGTGTTGGCCTTATGAGTCTCTTCCAAGCGACTCTTTCAAGAAGCGCCGCTTCCAATCACCCTCCTCCGGTTGCTGCGGCTCCATGAACCGAGCAACTGCAAGGAACCAACCCACCACAACCAGCCAGTCAAACATGTCAGTCAGTCCTCCAGGACTTCGATGCTGCAGCTCGTCAGGTCCCACAATGGGTCCTCGCCACATGAAACCGGCAAGGGAGCTGTCAGACGTAGAGGGATCCGTTGCGTCTCGCTGGTCACTAGCACTAAGGATCTTGTGCTGGGGTGGCAGAGTCATCTCCGCACGCAATCTGGGAGTCATTCGCGCATTCAATGCCACCAGGTCATTTGCGCACGCGATGTTGGGGTCATTCGCGCATTCACGGCCGGAAGTGTCCACCCCAGCAAAGGGCGCGTGCACTAGGCTGGGAGCGGGTGGGGGAAGAGGCGTGCTGCGCGGGACAAAGTGGGAGGGGAGCAGGGGTCGAAGCACACTGCGTGCGACTGCGTGACCGGGGGGAGGGGGGTGGTACGTGCGCTGCGCTGGGTGGGTGGGGGGAGTGGGCCGGGCGTGTTGCACATGACACGTGCAGTCTGCTGGGGGGGGGAAAAGGGGTGGTACGTGCGCTGTGCTGGGTGGGCGGAGGTAAGTGGGCCGGGCGCGTTGCGCATGACACGCGCAGCCTGCTGGGTGGGGTGGGGGGGAGCGGGGTGGTACGTGCGCTGTGCTGGGTGGGGGGGAAGTGGGCTGGGCGCGTTGCACATGAGACGTGCAGTCTGCTGGGCGGGGGGGAGGGGGGTGGTACGTTGTGCTGTGCTGGGTGGGCGGGGGGGAGCGGGCCCCACGTGTTGCACATGACACGTGCAGTCTGCTGGGTGGGGGGGAGGGGGAGAGCACAAGCTGTCAGCCCCGATCACCTAAATCATCAAGTCCATTATCATGCCTGTGAGCCCAAAAAGCATTGAATGCACAGACGACGCCAGGATTGAATGCAGAAACGACACCAGGATTGAATGCACAGACGACCCCGTGACCTCTTGTGCAGGTGATTTCCTCCAACATCCCCATAGCCCTGGGAAAGATCATGAGGCAAGGCACCGATTTCGACGGCTTCGCGGTATCCCACGCGTGGCAGCGCCCCAGCAGGAGCCATGCAAGTAGCATTTGGTCAACCTACATCTGGTACAGCTGGTCGAATGAGATGGCAACTTGAAAGAAACTGATGGATTCTCAGTGCCAAGGGTTTGGGCAGCAATGCCCGCCGGAGGAAAAATAAAACATGCGCTTTCCGGCACAGCAGCCAATTAGTGCCACTGTGGTGAGGTGAATACAATTATAGGCGTTAAACTGTGGAGACTGAGCCCATTGTCGCTTTCCATGACAATCCATGTGCCTTGCTTCCTGCCATGTCTCCCATCTAAAGATTGAGCCACACGCAAACATGCCAGAATTCCGAAGGTGCGCCAACACCATCCAACACCCTAGGTCATGTGCCGCCTTCCGGCTGCTCGCGGCCGGGCGGCAACTGCCTTGCCTGGCTCGCTGGAGGGCATCCTGTTTTGGGTTGGTCTTCTGGGAAACCAAAAAGAAACCCTTGCCCTTCAGGTCCGGTGCCCCTTCGGCACATACCATCCCGCATACCCATCTGGAACCCCGAGCCCCAACCACACACATCCCCTACCTCCTGCAGCAGGTCCGACAAGATCCCCTCCTCCGTGGCCTGCTGGACAGGCCATCTCAGTCAACCCATGTGTGGCACTGGAGGGAAGGGCTGACCCTGGTAATCAACCACGTGAAGGATTCCATTTCACATGCCGCTTTTGATCGCTTCATCGAACTGGGACTTGCCAATCGCGGGTTGCCAGTACCTCTGCCGCTTGCTTCCATGGCAGCTAAACTGACACTTGAGGGACCTGCGAAGGAAGATTGGCTGTGTCCCTTACTTCAAGACCTCCACACATCAGCCTCTTGGCTGCTGACCACCCTGATGCGTCCTGGGCTGGGTAACTGAGCAGAGCAAATGGCAAATCATGGGAAGCTAGGTGGGTCCAGCCCTTATCATATCCACTAAGCATGCTTGTCTGAACAGCTCCCTGGCTTTTCCGATGTGGACGTACCCCTGTACCCCTGGCAGTGCAAGAAGATAGAAGGCAAAGCGCTCCTGCGTTCTCAGCGGGCGAGGCCCATGGGCAGAAGCCCTGGCCTATGACGAGTTCCTCTATCCATCGCTTCACGACCTTGCTGTGGTGATCCTGGCAGTGGCTCCAGTCGCACCCGGCGATTTGTGTAGAGCCTTATATTCTTCGTGTACGTCTATCCCTTTTGTCATCAACTCCTCAATTCAAACAAAAAGAGTCCAGCGCCTGCTGGACCGCCCAGCAGCGGCTGCGCCTTGCGAGGCCAAAAGCAAAACCGCGGGGGAGTTCCCGAACGCGGGCGTTCCGCCCGTCGCATTTTGCTCTGCCGCCAGAGCCGTGGGATGCGGCCGAGGGCCTCGAAGCGATGCACCTCAGAGAGGCAAACAGGCAGCGAGCACGTAACTTCCGACTCTCAGCTCTCAGTCAAATCTTGACCAGTCCCTATTTGAGGCTGGCACCTCGTCGCAAATCTCCGTGAGGCTTTCCAGGCCGCAGTCCTCCTCCTGCACCGCCAATCCAAAGAGCCGCAGGCCCTGGCCACGCAAGGACTCCAAGCGCTCCATCAATGGTTGTGAGGGCAGCGTAATCTTTCCGTCTGTGACCAGCAGCAGATCTGCCCGCTGCCAGGGAGATGACCTCCCTCTGCCCTCCAGGCGTGCCGCGCTCGCCGCCAGGGGCGCTTCCAGGTCCGTGCCGCCCCGGAAAGAGCGAGAAAAGAACGCCAGGACCTCTGTCCAGTTGGGCGTCCGACCCACGACCTCCAGCTCCGCCAGCTCTGACGGTCCAGAGAAGAAGTTCACGTAGCAGGGCCGCTTCTCTGCCTGTGCCAGCGTCAGCACCTCCAGGACCGCAGCCTTGGCTATGGCCTCCGGCCGCCCCGCCATGCTGCGGGAGGTGTCCACGCAACAAAGCAGCGGCCCCCGCTCTGCGCCCGGCCGCCACTCGCGCCAGCGCAGGCGATCCGCGTCCTCCTCCTCCCAGGCGCTGCGCTCGTAGCACAGCAGCGTGCCCTCGGCGCGCCGCAGGCGGTGCAGTGCCCGGGCCCCGGCGGCGTTTCTGCGGTCTGGCGCGTTGGCGTAGGCCAGTAGCGAGAGCTCGCTGGGCAGCAGCAAATCCCCGGACCGCGAGATGCCCGTCGTCTCCGCCGGCAGCAGCGGCGACCGCACGATGCCCTGGCCTGCCTTGCTCTCCCGCTCGGCCTGCTCAAACTGCATCGGCGAGTCCAAGCCAGCTTTTCTCCCCATCTTGCGAACAAGTGCCTTCAACTCGGGCAATCGACCCAGCAGTTCGCGGTAGGCAATCAAGTCTTCCCAGTCTTCCACTACTCTCTCCTGCCCAGCTTCCATCCCTGCGAGCGACCCGCCTGACATTGCCAGCCTTTCTGCCTCCAGGGCATCGAGATCATCTGACTCCAAGCTGGGCCCCACGTCGAGCGAGTCCAGGTCTTGGAGTGCCTCTTCCACAGTGCCAGCGCCCGGCATTTGTTGTTTGCTTGATTCCGATTGCGTTGCTCCGTCCAACTCAGCTCCATCTTCGGAGGCCCTTGCCTTCAGCCCATCAGCCTCCTCCTTTTTCTGCAGCCTCTCAGACAGCGCCGTGCTGTGACTGTCACCGGCCTCAACTTCGCCGGCTTCCTCGCCCACCCCCTCGGCATCGCTAGCAGCACTTTGGCTGCTGAAGTCCAAGAAGCTCGGGAGCCGCAGGCCACCAGTGCTGTCGCTCTCCTCGGCGCTCTCCGCGCTCTCCGCGCTCTTCGCGCTCTCTGCTCTCGCCTCTGTTGCTGCCATGATGTTCCGCAGGACCGTGTCCACCAGCTCCGGCGACGCCCGCAGCAACGATCGCAGCTCCAAATCCTCTGCGGCCATCCGCAGCTGCTGCCCGACAGGGCCTGGGACCTCTGCCTCTCCCAGCAGCACGCGGCGCCAGCCCTCCTCTTGGCCTTCGCTTGGCTCGTCTTGGCCAAGGCCCCGAACAGCCCTCGCGCCCGTAACCTTGGCACGGGACGCGCGAGCACGCTGTGCAGCACAAAGCACCGCGCAGGTCGCCGCAGCTGCTGTGTGAGCCGCGTGACCAACCGGTGTGGGGGTCGCTGGTCTGAGATAGCCTTGGCCTGGCACTGCGCTCCATGAGAAGCTGCATGGTGCAGGACGCATGCCAACTCAGGTGAACAAAGCTCAAATGCATTTGCTTGCAAGTTGCCTTTGCAATGTTTTTGCAGTGCCTCAACTTGATCTGCCGCATCCAAAACTAGCTTATGTTGCAGTTGATCAAAGCTTGCAGGCTCATGTTTGTGGAGCTTGACTGCGAGAGGCATGTCTCCATCACATTGCTATTCTTCTGGCAACGTACCTGCGTGTGCTGTGCACAAATTGTTTGGACCTGCAAGTCACGCTCCCAAGTTTCCGAAGCCGGAAACGGTTCAGACAGGCAAGCCGTTGACCTGGCCCTACCACCCAAGTCACCTTCGCTTTTGCATTGGTGTATTTTACCAGTCTGAGCTCGTCAAACAAACTCTGGTCAGGCTTCCACAGCCGATCCAAGCAAATGGCAACGGAGAGATAGAAAGATCAGTCTCCTTTCAATGCTCATGCACCGCGCCTGCATCTGCCTGTTGCCTGCTGAGACAGCACAAGCAAGGCCTCAGCCCCGCAACTGGACAGGCTCGGACAAGCAGGCTACAAGCAACGGAGAACACAGCAGCGCGGGGAGCTTGCGCCCAATCTTGGAGACAAGCTAGGACCCGGACTGGCACCAAAGCATGGGTGCGACCATCTCGCCGGCCCGCGCTGCGAGAAGCCTTTCCGCCAGCTCGTCTTGCTATCCAACACGATCTTTACTGGCAGAGGTGTTGTGTCAACAAAAAAGCGCAGCTGGAGAAGCCGTCTGGTGTATGCCGCCAATGTAGCTGCCCCAGAAATGCTGGTCATGCAAAGCCAAAGCTTGACATCCAACGCGTCTGCCAGTGCCTGGAAGGCTGAAACTGCATGGGCACAGGGTGTCGGCAGGAACATCGAAACTCTGCTGGATATCAGTAAGTTGTCTGCACCTCGCTCCACATTACGACTCGTGAAACCGCCGAATCAACCACGCAGGCTGGAAAAGCAAAGCCTTCTTGCAGATGATTTGGCAGCCAAACGGCCTTGCCCGATGCAATAAATTCCCCTATGCAACAACTACGCACTTTTTGATGGTTGCTACCAGTTGGACGTGCGTTCTCTCTCCTCTGAGCCCAGCGCAAGCTGGCCGCGAGACTAGCTGCAGCGCACCATGCTGGGTTGCCAAATTCCAAAGTCCATGCATCGAGTTCTTTCGTCGAGAAACGCTTTGGCGACAGAAGCTCCGGCTGTCGCAGCCCTCATCTCCGACGAGGGCTACCGAGGCCGAGCCAAGATCTTTTGTCTTGGGTGCTTTGGGCCCCTGTCTTCCCACACCACGCCGGCTGCAATCTCAGCCATGGTCATTTTCCGGCTGCAATGAAGCGGGACACGTCATTCGCCGACGCCCCGTCCTGGGGCAGCATGCCCTGTTGTAGAGCAAGAAGCACCACAGCGCTACCTCCCAAAAGCAGCAAACCTGACAAGGTGCCGCACACAAATCGAATCGCATCCCAAGCCCATGTTTGATGCGGTTGGTTGGAGTGACTCCTTTGCAACACCAACCCAACCTGTCCCACTCTCACACACACACACACACATTCCCCCTCGCCTGCCCGGAAGGCCTTCATGCAAAGCAGGTCCCGTAGCTGCCGGCACTTGAAGGCGCCTGCGGAGCGCTCCAGGAAGAAGAGCACCTGAGTCGAGACACGCGGCACCGCGGCACGTGTGAAGGGCCATCTCTGTTCACCCGAACCCATGGGTAACAGAGCGGTAAAGAGAGGCAAAAGGCTCGAAAGGCCGGTTCTTGTCGCGCCAACAATAGACGAATGAGACTGACAAGCGCAAACCTGAGCTCCACTTTGGGAGAAACAGCCAGTACTCAAAAAACCTTGCATATCAACATCGTGCTAGTAAGCCATCCCAAATGTCGTGAAACATGGCAGCATCTCGCTGCGCCGCTGGCTGCACTCCAATGGAAGCCAGGCAGCAGTGCCCATGCTCAAGACCTGAGCGCAGTAGAAATGGCCCTGTGAGACATGAGCCACAGCGCAGGGGACAGTCTAGAGTTCTTGCCATCCAGAGAATACCCTGTTCAAAGGTTCTGGTAGGTCAGCTGACCCGGTTTGGAAGATTGCTGACTTGATATTATTTTCCGTGAGCAAAGAGTTGTTTTTGTTTTTCTTTTGTTTGGATGATGCTGAAGGGGAGCACACTACAGACAACCATGGTCTATGGTCTGTGTCAAAACAAGTTGGAGTCCTTGTTGGGATGATTCTACCAGGAAGGTCTTGGTGCTGACACATACCCCCGGTATCTTCCCACTTTGTTTGGTTGGACATCCCCTTGATCACGCGCTTGCCCATCTGTTCCCCTCGCTCTGTCTTTCTTTGCTTGCTCCAAAAGAGTCGCCCTTGTTGGCCCTGCGATGGAAGCCTTGAGGAGGGCAACCAGGGAGAGGGCGTCCGAGGGGCCAGCACCGAGCCTATGAGCGCCGCCGCCACCCCGGGCCACGAGCCGCCGCAGCGGAAGACCACCTGAGCCGGATCCCATCCCAGCCGCATGGCCGCATGTCTCACAATTCGACCCGACAACGCGGTGGCGGTCCTTGAGCTTCAAAGCCAACCCCAGAGGTTTTGATTAAAAAGACAAAAACAAGGGAAGGTCGCACGCATCTTGCGGCAGTTGGAAGCCTTGGAACATCTCCATAGAGTCCAAAGTTCTACTTCCGCGCAAGGTCTTTGCTCGTGATTTCAAGCCTCTTCAGCGGCTGGCAAGAGGTGCTTGGGGCATTACCTCTATGCAAAATGGTCAAGGGGGTGCTGTGTGTGCATCTGCTAGAACAAGAAGCGTCTTCCTCTTCAGTTCCTGAACTAAATGGCCCAAGTAAGGTGGCTGAGACTAACATGTACGCAAGGTATAAACTTGGATTGTGCCAGGTCACATCCTTTCCAAGTTCGTGCGTGTGAAGGCTTTGAATCTCCAGCTGGCGATTCAGAACCATCATATTGATAGACACAAACCAATCTCTTCCATCTTCTGCTTCCATCTCTCATTTGTTTGGCTGTCCTTTTTGGGTGGACCCATAACATGGCTTCGGTTCTCCTTTTGGCTTTCCCTTTAAAAGCCGCCGAAAATGAAAGGTTACCGACTCCAAGAAAGACATGTCCCTTGTCCGGTGTTCGAAACCCAAGCCGCAGGCAGCTCAGCCGAGGCGCTGAGAGGAGGCACTGGAAGGCCACCGCGCCTCCCAGGCCCGCCGCGTCCAGCATCGACGAGGCCGTGGCGCAGCGGTCCCCGAACTCCACGATGTGCAGGCCCTAGCGAGCGCGAGCCGCACGAAGACGCCCAAGCGACGCCCAAAGACGCGGAAATTCGACGCGCGCGGGGGTCGTTCCACATGCGGAACGCCCCTCTTGCGCTCTTGCGCTCCGTCCGGCTTGGACAGCCCGCGTTGTCCCAGCTTGGCAAGATGGGGGGCAAGAAAGAACAAAATGGAAATGAGAAAGAGGGAGGTTGCGACGGCCCTCAGCCGTCAGGAGATGCTCCAAATGTTGTGAAAGGGCCCATGAGACTGGAGATCCCTGCCATGTTAGATTCTCAGCTCATGCCTGCTCAATGCAATCAACGCTGAGCATCTCGCCGGCTTAATGTAGTAGTTGAACGAGACGCCCAACGCTATACAAGCCTCGGCATAGACTCTACTACTTCAAACCCGAGCTCAGGCTGGACTCGCATGCGAGTCCATCTGCACTTGCAAGACACCGTGCAGTCGAGGCACCAAGCAACTGAGGATGAACTCCACGCGCACGGTCTTCCTGAGGCCAAAGCTGATCGGTGAGACCGGTGAGACCAATTTACAACCCTTGGTTACAAAAAATGAACAGAACCAAAAGACAAAAACAACAAAAATACTTGCCAACAGCGGCGAAGACAGAACAAAACTTGCCACGGCTCGGAGGCAAGGAGACTAGGACCAGCAGAAAGCCTCCAGCCACCAGGATCAGGGACTGCAAGCCCAGCTCGAAAAGGAGCCGTCCTGGCGAGCCGACCCATGTCAGTCCTCCCAGACGTGTTTCTAACCCAAGAGCAATGTGAGGCCTGAGGCCAGTCGACCCTTATCCGTGGTGTCAAGGATCAAAATGCCGGACGTCATTGTCACCAGTTGCGCCATGCTACGCTGGCGCCTCAATCCACTGCAGTCCTGTTGGGCTCGCAATCCGAACGTGGAAGTGGGGCAGCGTGAAAACGCCAAGCATCACGCCAGCTGGGAAAATGGCCTGAGTCCAGCCAGCTTCAACAAGCCAATGATGGACTGGTTTAGCCTCTCGCCCAAACTCTCTCTGCGATGCAATGTCACATAATGGTCTTTGCAAGGCTATTGCATCCGAGTCACGGCATGCATGCTCGCTTCAGCGTTGCTGAGATTCCTCGTATGCGGAGAGCGGTATCCGGCCGATTCTGTACGGGACACAAGCAGCCCCTTCCACAGATGGCCAAACCCCCAGAAAGGAAAGTTTCGGCACCGCGACCGCCCGGTGACACGGAGGTGCACTGCCTCTGAAGATACTCTGACCAGCCACAGCTCGATCTACGGCACAAGCGCTAGACAAGTTCATCAATATATCTCACCCATTCCCACTGCTCAAGCAGCGCTGAAAACTCTGTTGAGGCGTTGGCTCCAAAATAGTTTCAATAAGCAGGGCGTTGTGCTTCTTTTCGGCAACTTCTGGGTCCCACAAAACGACCCCTTGCCCTGACACCACCAACCCACTCCCCACTGACCTCAGCTCCTCCCCAAGCTCCCCCAAGCTCCAGCTCCAGCTCCGAGTGGCGCCAGGTCCTTCAGCAGCAGAGGGCCCAGGTTCTCCATGGACATGAGGCAGGTAGCGCCCACCACGGCCACGGCGTGCAGCTGCAGGCCTCTCAACCCGGGTCGACGATGGCCGTGGGTCAAACGCCAAAATCCGAATCGTACCCCCAGTGAACATCCGATTCAATCCAACCACTAAAATAGGTTCTAAAATGGGTGGTGAATTCACCTGCCCCAAAATAGTACCATTTTTGACCCACAGCCAGATCCGGCCACGTGGGCAGTTTGTGCCGTTCGGTTGAAGCAACCGAGGCCGTCAAAGCCACGCTCGAGCCGACCCCGTGAGAGACGAGAGACCCGGGGCTATCAAAGCAGAAGGGCAATCGAAAAAGAACCCAGCTAGAGCTTCTGCTTTGCAAAGGCTGTTTAGGCTGTTTGATGCTGCCTGCCGCAGTCGGCAACCAAGTGGGTGAAGATCACTGTGAAAAAATCGAGGCCCTGCTAACGACTCCCATCAATCCAGGATTCATGCCACAAGCGAATCCCGACCACAAGGATAAACGCCCACGGACAACATGCGCACGAAGGAGCGGACTAAATCAACCCGAGCCTTGAAAACTGGCTTGAGCATCATGCGATGCGGGTGTCTGCGAATGTCCAAATGAGTCATAATTAAAACCCGGCACCCTCCAATTAGCCGGGTGTTGATTCTGACTCAAATGAGCAAACAAATTGGCGCTGAAACTGATGCTTTGAGATCTCGACAAAAAAAAAAGCTAAAAGACTGGCCCCCCCACAACATTGCGACAGCCCGCATCGCCTCGGTTGCACAGAACAGGGCGGATGCCGCTCGAGGCCGAGCATACCTCGGGCGCAGGGTCGGGAAACAGACATCAGTGACATAAGCGTGTGTCTAGGGATTAATCTCCAGCAAAGCAGCTTTGAATTTCCTAGGTCGTCTTGTCTTCTTGTAACCCTCACGCCAAATCGGCCCACGACCCGCGTCCCACCTCGCGCTGCACCTCCTCCTTGTCCCTGGGAGTGGCAGGTTCCACCTGCAGCTTGGGCTTGCCATCGGCGTCCTTCTCGTGGTCCGTCTTCAGCAGGGCCTGTCCACAGGTTCAAAGCGCACAACGCTGCCATTGCTCCGGGCACAGAATTTATGATCACTACTGTTTTTGTTTTCTCTGTCATGACGCCTTACTGTGCTTCCTGAACAAGGATTGTAATTGTAATCTTTCGGAGCAAATCAGCGGGTCGGTTTACCCAAAAATATCCAGCCAGCGTCCTCTTACACCATCACTTTACCTCACATCTTTGCCACCAGGTATGTCTTTTTTGGGTGGCAGTGTGACGTGAGGATTGGGTGGCACCCCTGTGTTTCATAGGGAAAGCCACCACTTGGGTTGCCGCCCATGGCGCTGCCTGAACCAAGGCCCAGGCGCCCAGCATCACCAAAGCTGAGAGCTCCGCGATGCGGCGCCAGGGAAGTAGCAGGAGGACCTCGGCGTGTCCGGACCTGGGCCTTCCAAATGCAAGTGGTTGGATTCCTTGTTGGGCTCCCTTTAAAACCATGAGACAAACCCATGTATGGTGCCCCTATGCAACAAATGACTCCGCAATCAACACAGATTTGGGGAGAACTGGAGTGGACCACAGTCCGGAGCCAAACTGGGAAGCCCAATCCCTGGAACCTCCCGCTCGCCGCGGCACGAGCCCCAGCGCCAGGCGCGTCAGCACAGCGCTCAGGCGAGAGCACGTGGCCAGCACCGAGAAGCAAAGGCTCGAGTCCTCCTTGAAACGCCGCTCCTCAGAGAGCTGAACTCTCCGGTTCACTTGGCTGCTTACCATGATGGTATGCTTTCCATACTCAGGGTTGGCATCATCAGCGTCATAGTTGAATTATGGTACTTGTCGTCTCATCATCATCATCATCATCATCATCATCATCATCAGCAGCAGCAGCAGCAGCAGCACTATCACCATCAACATCATCATCACCATCGTCGTCATCGTCATCGTCATCGTCATCGTCATCGTCATCAGCATCATCATCATCATCATCATCATCATCATCATCATCATCATCATCATCATCAGCAGCAGCATCACCATCAACATCACCATCACCATCGTCGTCATTGTCATCGTCATCGTCGTTAGAAACATCATCATCATCATCATCATCACCCTCATCATCATCAGCAGCAGCAACAGCAGCGTCACCATCAACATCACCATCAACATCAACATCACCATCGTCGTCGTTGTCATTGTCAGCCTCATCATCATCATCATCATCATCATCATCATCATCATCATCATCATCATCACCATCGTCATCATCATCATCGTCACCATCATCAGCAGTAGCAGCAGCACCGTCACCAACACCATCACCATCGTTGTCGTTGTCATCGTCATCGTCATCGTCATCATCATCATCATCATCATCATCATCATCACCATCGTCATCATCATCATCATCATCATCATCATCATCATCGTCGTCATCGTCGTCATCATCATCATCATCATCATCATCATCAATGAAGCCATGGCGCTGTGCGTCCACCAAGCATTCTAGAGGGTCTCCCGACCACCAAAAGTCATAGCAAAGCTCACGCTCGACAAGAGGCGATAAGCTTGCAGCCACTCAGCCAAGAGCCGGAGCTGCAGTAGCTGAGCACCACCACTGCGAGGCCCACCATACCTCACACCAAAACCAGGTCTGGAACTACACTCGCAAGCCGAAAGCTCCCTTTCCGGCAGCTGGTAGTCTTTGTGTCTTGATTTCCTCTGCAGATTGCCCAAACACCCCGGTGGTCACGCACCCCGACCCAACCCCCCCCCATCCATCTGGGGCGCCGATGCTCTGAGCCACGGCCAGCGCGCAGCAAGCGCCGCTGGCCAGCAGCAGCACCACGAAAAGGAATGGGCGGACCCCAAAGTGGTCCAGCAAAACTCCGTTGAAAAGCTTCCCCACGGCTCTGGCCAATGTGCCCAGCGCCAGCACGGAATTTAGGCTGGAGTTGTCCTCACAAAGCTGACTTGGATTTTTGCGCGAGTACACCTTTGTGTGCACACAAGTTGGTTGCCCCATACCATTTCCGGCTACCAGCCCCTGACCGTGAATTTCGACCGTTGCTCAACTGAAATTCAAATGGGGGGGTTCTGCACCGATGGCATGCCGCACTGAGCTCGTGTCTAGACCCAAGAGCGGATCATCCGCCAGCGCGCCCAGCAGCGCGACGGGCATGGTAAGCTGACAGGCTGCGCGAAACGTGCATTGCCATCGCCAAGAGCGAGCTACGCGAAACTGAGCTGAGCACCCCAAACATGAGGATGAACTGAGGAAAGCAGTACCTGCACAAGTGCGGGTCCTTGCCGCTCGTTCTACCAGCAGGGCACTCTGCATGATTCCGAATCACCCGGAGGCAGCCAAGCATCAGCCCAGGTGATCGCGGGTTTCAAACCTGAAGTTTGGAATGGTCTGAATCGCAGTTCCTCAACTAATTGCTTTGGGCTGGTCGCTTCATCTCAAGCGTCACGTGTAGCTCCACAGGTAGGCTTAAAGCGACTGGCAGGTAAAGCTTGACAAGTGGCCCTCTTGTCTATCCTTCAATGTGAACGAAGCAGCAAACATGTGTCCAACTGCATCTTGAAGTTGCCATGATTGTTCTCCCCTCCAATGACACATTTACTAGAGAAAAGCACCTTGAATTTGTCTGGTCACAGCTGGCTGAATGTCCGTCATAGTCTTGCGACAGTAGATGAGATGTTGAATTGTACAGCCTCAGCAGCTTTGAGCCAAGCGTGTTCAGCCCGACACTCTCATCCATGAACGTCCCGAGATTGATTGAGCCTGCTGCTTTCCCCTGAAGCAACTGACTTCAACTTTTCGGAAGGCAACCTCGGGGGATTGAAGCAAACAAGCTGCACTGCCGGCCACTGCGAGTCATTGCATCTTTCCCCCTTTGCTGAGGCTGCCAAGACCCAGGCGCAGTCAACAGCGCATGCATTCCCCCAAACGCCACCGGCGCTTGGGAGGGTTTGGGGTTTGGAAACAAGTGTTGATATTGAAAAAACAAGTGACAGTGAAGGAAGCGAGGAGCTGGCGACCCCAATTATGAACCAGTTCCCCCACTTCCTCTGAGGTCTTCCAAGTGCATATCCTTCAAATCATGCACACCTTCCGCACCAAGCGGCGGGATTCCTCTGCGAATTCCGCCGCGGAGCATGCTGCTCAACGCGGAGCCGGCCACCAAGAGGCGCCCGGGAAACCCGAAGTTCCTCCTGTGGTATCGTCCCTGGAACACGTGCAAAAGTCACGCTTGACATGGATGACGTTGAAACTTGCCATGGCTGATTTTGTGCTTCGTCAGGCGGAACGTTCGTCAGGCGGAACGCAGAAGTTGCAGAGTCGGCCTTCCCCGAAGGCTGGAACTCTCAACCCAAACCCCAGCATGAGGCCTCACGCCTCACGCTGCGCGGCAGCGCTTGGACCCAGCCTGCGACGCAAAGTGCGAAGGCGGGGCGCGATGTGCATTGCAAGCGGCTTGAGCCATTGTGTAGGAGTCCAAACATTTCTGGCTGAGTTGGTAATTACATGCGCTGCAGCTGCAGTCGCCTTCTCAATGTCATCCAGGAAAGCTGTAGCCTGAACTGCACAATCCGAGGTCCGAAACATGGAGAGAAGCCAATTTCCGTTTTGGGGTGCATACCTCCCGACCCTCCCGCCTCGTTGCCGCGATTCTCCACCGCCACCTTGCCTGCCAGCTCATGACCCAATTTCGAGGCGAATGAAGCAACGGGCCCATCTGCCATGGTCCCTGCCAAAGCGATTCTGCAGCTCCCAAGTTCTGATGTTTCAAGCGTATCAAGGAGGGTTGGTTCGCCAAAATAGTCATGAGGGTTTCACAGACTCTGCTAATTTTATAGTCAAAGACAAACGGACTAGAACTTGTAGCCAAGGGGTGCTTGCAACTTGCCTGAAGCTCCCTCTCTCGGACCTGTCAACCTATCCTCCCCCCCGCGAGGCCCCTGCTCTGCTGAAACTGCTTCTGCACCTCTGCCACCTGCATACAACCCAGGTGCTCAGAAGCCCTTCTAGGAGTTTCTCAAGATGGCGGACCCTTTGGTGGGAAATTCAAGGCAAACCGAAAGGAAACCATTTTTAGGGGACCACTTTATCACTTTGAGAAACACGCCCTTGGCACGCCTGAGGGGTTCTTGGAGCCCCTCGGGCCCTTGCCCTGGGACCCTGGGGCCCTTGGCTTCCTCCCGTCGCCGCGCTAGCGCGCAAGCGCGCAAGCGCTTGTCCCGCCTCCCGTGCCAGCCGCGAGGCTTCCTGGCCGAGTCAGTTTCCCACAAGCGAAGGAAACTCCGGCCCCGAAGGCCTCCAACACCCTCTGGACAGCATCCTGCGGCGGGCGCGGCCTCACAAAGCGCCGGGGGCTTTTGGCCCAAAAAGACACAGGCAATGCATCTGGTGCAAAATCGACCAGAGTATTTGTCACTCTCTGTGATAGCAGGCAGCCCCGATTTCTGCATGCATGCAAATCCACGGGCTCCGAGCACAGCTTTCACATCGACAGTTCGCGCGACTCCTGCGGACGCGAGTCTCGGTTTGCTTCCCTCTGAGCAATCTTCTTTGAGGAAGTTCCTCTGAGCAAGTCTATACGCACGTCTTCTATGTAGGGCAGTGCAAGAGAATCCAACGGAAGAACCCCCCCCCCCCCCCCGCGATGAGATCGGGTAAAAGACTGAGGCCGTTCATATGTCAACACAAAAGGTGAGTGGAGTGGGATAAGTCAATCAAACACTTTCCAAATCAGGTCAAATCTGCACCAGCTGCTTCAAAATGCCAACCCAGCTCCCAACCACCCAAGTCAAGTGACAGTCCTGCTTTCCACACATAAACACGTTCTGCGCATTCAAAGCTGAACACAGCGGAACTCTGGCTACACGTCTGTATGCGTATCACACAGGTGTCCAGCCCGGGCAGCTCTGTTCTACCATGGGGCACGTCTCCCTGGAAGAGGCCCCAGGCGTGAGCCACCAGCTAGGAATCCGCAGGGCCACCCTCATAGAACCTCATACCCTACCAGGTCCCCGGCCAGCAAAGCTTAGGCAAATAGCGGCGGCCCTTCCACTGGTCGGAGTGCCACGTGGAGGAGTGGCACCCCCACTCTCCGCAGGCTTCGCCAACCCCGGCAAAGAACCTGAAGTAGGGCGGGTCTGCGGTCAAGCCGCTCCTGTTGTGAACGTCCCAGTCAGCCTCAGAGCTGTTTGCCTTCTGCCAATACGACACAAAGCCAAAAGGGCTCCCACGCTCCCGGAAGTTACGACACATCCTCGTTTCAAAGGTTTTCCCTTCACCCAACAAATTCACGACAGGAAGTCTGGGAACCTTTGTATTTTGGCTCAAGTTGGCTTGAACCCCTCACATGCCCCTTGTACATGTGCTTGCAATCGACGATGCTCAGCTTCTAGGGTAGTCCTAACCCTGTCGTTTCCGCAAACTTTTTACGGTCTACGGCACATGTTGGTATGTCAGTCATGTCCAGCCCTTGACATATCGATTTTCCAGAGGCCTCGCTGGGCGCTCATGCAATGACAAGCACTCGCGCTGCAAAGTCGAGCCCTTCTCCAACAACCCAGTTGCTGCTCCTTGCTTCGACTGTATTGGCACAGCCGGCTTGGCACGCCTTCACAGGGAACAGCACATGCAGCCTTCAGAGGCTTCCCCTTCCAACCCCCTGACTCGGAATCACGGCCTTTTAACTACTGAGCTCCAGGTTTTTCGGGGAGATCTGATTTTCGCGCACTGAAGGGCCTGCGATGGCCCAAACAAGCCTGAAGCAGGTTTCCCTGTCGATTTGCTTCATGACTCCCTGCGCTAATTGATGGTATGGCAAGAAAGAAAGTGAGCGAGCGAGCAAGCAAGCAAGCAAGCAAGCACACAAGTATCCAAGCAAAGCGACGCAAAACGATGCAATGTCAAGGTTTAGCCTGGGGGAGAAGCAAATGCCCAGCCGAAGGTGACTTGCTGTGCGGCCCGCCTGGGGGGTCTCTCCTCACTCTGAGAAAGCACCTCCTCCTTCACGACCTGCTTGGGGCGCACCAATTTCTGCTGTGCCTCCCGCTTCGGAAGCACCTGGCGCAGGCACGAGGTCCTACTGTGCAAGCTGGTCGCCGGTCACTCTTCTAACAGCGTCCTTCTCGCGGCTTTAGAGAGAGCCCCTTGAAGACCCCCTTTTGATCCCCATACGTCAAGTACTTATGTTGCTTCAACTGCACTGCATGCCGCCTTCTGCTCCTGCTGTTTTTGCTTCCTTGGTCCGCGCTGCTCTTTTTGCCTTTGCTCCAGTCTCTCCCACTGCTCCCATCGCTCGAATTCGTCTTGCTCCTGCTGCCTCCGCTGCTGCTCTTTCCGTAGTTCTTTTCTCTGCCTCTGCTTCTCCCTCTGCAGCTTCTCCTGGCGTTCTTGCTCCTTTTGCTGCAACCTTTGCTGTAGCCTGGGCTGTGGCGAGTCCTGTCACAACCAGTCAGATCCAACCCATAGGTGGAACACGCCGAGCACACAATCAGGAGTAACTTGTCAATGTTTCCCGATACATTGACTGCCCCTTCGGTCCTGTACCACAATCGGATCCAAGTTCCACACCAGTGCGGGTGGCTCCTGGTTCCAGCTGCATCCAAAGACTACAATCCACGAGAAAACATCCAAGTACGTCCAAGAGTGAGGCTCCTTGCCATTAGCTTTCAGCCCCGCTCGACCACACTCGCTCATGTAATGCTCGAAGGTCTCCCGCACGTCCTCCGGCGACCTGCTGGTACATCCAACCGATTGCTTGCTTGCTCTGCCCCAGTCTACATTAAGGATGTAGGGCATCATAATGAAAAATGACAGTTTCCCTCAGCCCTCCAAAGGGCTCACACCAGGCAAACAAGTGCAAAGTCAGTGAAAACTCGGCCCTAGCACAAAAAAGCGGCGCACCCTTCCAGCATCAGCTCCAGTGTCGAAGACAACAAAGCCTCCTCCGACCTTGGTTTTGCGCTGAGCACGAGTCGAAAAAAAATGGAGGCCGACTCACGAGACTGCTCCAAGCCACTGCTCCGGTTTGAGCCGAAGGAAATGAATTGAACAAATGGTACTTGTCTGTTGACAAACAGACCAACAACAACAACAAAGCCCCACCAACTGCGAAAGCTCATGACCCTGCCCTGAATATACAAAGAACAACTCTAAACAAAGGCCAGGACTTCACATTTTGAGTGTAAAGGGTCAAGCATTTCTCCTCCTGCCTCAAACATGCAGCAAAGCCACCAATATCTCGGAAACCAACCAACCAACAAGAACGTCAAAACCAACCGGCCCACGTCACTTCCCGCCCTTCCGCTTCAGCGAAGCGGCACACAGCCCAGCTCCTGGAGCTCCTCCAGGTCCAGCGACAGCGCCACCCGCACCTATCCGCGAACCAAACTTGGTCCCCCCCAGCCCACCCAGCCCACCCCCCCGAGGGCCCGAAGAGACCACCTGGCCCGGTGCAACCGTTCGAAACTGCTCGAAGCTCTGCAACCGTCCCAAGCCGTGGCCCAAGTTGCGCCTCGAGGCCCTCACCGGCCTCGGGGTTCGCGATTGGAGCCAATCCGCGTGCGGCCGGTGATGGAATATGCCGCCAACACCCAAAGCTATAGACCCCTTTCTGAGCAGCAGTTGCTTCAAACCAGACAAAAAAGACAGCGGCATGAAAGCTTAAATGGCTGTGGCTCAAAAAACGATGTACCTAAAATGGCCCCTGGTAAATGGAAACAAAGGCCAAAACCTGCGCCCAAATGAGCCGAAGGGTTTACCGGGTTGTGTGTGTCACGTGGGTCTCTGGGCCCAAAAGAACCTAGGCTTCCCTGCCAGGTCCTGGAGCCGCAGGAGCTCCCAAGGCAGCTCCTCGCGAGCTAAGCCGCAGCCCTATGATTATCAGTAATCAGTGTTATATCCGGTATTGCTTATAATAGATATAGATACACAAATACCCTCAGTGGAAACCAGCTTACACCTCTGAGGTTTGATTTTGGCTTCGGAATTCGAGGAAACCCAGATTTAGCATACGCTCTGCTGGGCTCCAGCTTTGGCTCCATCTCGCCCTCCTGGTGCAATGCTAGGCAGTGCGACCTCAGACTGACGTGCCTGCTTGTTCCCCCAAAACATGTGTGGGCGGCAGCAAAATTCAAAGGACCAGGGATGATTGATTGTGGCCTCAAGTGTCATTCAGAGTCTGAGACGTTTCAACCATTGCAAGGCATGATACAAATAGCCGGAGCCCACTCGGTTGCCGGCGAGAAAATTGCTGTCCCGATCTCGTTGTCAGCACAACACTGCGCGGGCGCAACACTGCACAGGCGCACAGTTGCGTGGCTTGTGTTTTCAACTCGGAGAAGTGCACCACTACCGCCATCGGCCATCTACCCAACATTGCCAAGGTTGCCGATTGAGTTCATCATATTTCAAGTCCGATGCAAATCCCAGACTGGCAGACGTTTGCAGACTCGACTGGACGGGCGTTCAACGTGTCTGACTCAATGGCCTCGTAGGCCATGGCATTTGGCGCCACAGCCGCCAGTTCCAGCGCCAGGCCGCGGCAGTCGGCCTGGGACCCCCTAGAACCCAGCTGACTTGATATCTGAATCTCAGATCAGATGCCTCCAGAAAGCAACAAGCGCGGCCCTTTGATTCACGGCGGAGTCTCGAGTTTTGGCTCTCTCCACCTTTGGTGCATGAAGAGCCTCTATTCACCGTCCTCGCGACAGTGATGGACGTTGGGTGATATTCCCCAGCCCGCAAAAATGGCTGACTCCCTGTGTGTGTGTGTGTTGCGCCGAGACTTAATTTGGCGCGCAGGTCTTGCTCGAGCTTCGACTCGCAACCTGCAGGGAGTCAGCCGGAACTCGAGTGTTCGCGACAATCTGCACGCTTCCATCAGGTTTGCGGGCACTGCACCAAGACCATGGAGCAGTACCCAGCGCCTTTGTTCCGCCCGTGGGCTGGAAGTCACACCCAAGAAACAAACCGTGACCCCAGTCACAAATGCCATGTATGCCACAACCTAAAGCAGCACACATTACGTACTGAGTGCATGGGGGAGGGGGGGGGGGGGCGTTGGGCCGTGTCCATCCCGCGGGTCGAGCGTGAAACTGTCTGTCATGGCTGTGCTGCCCGGCCAGCTGATGCTCCCAGAATGCTTGAAACATATCACTGACATCGGGGGGAAAGAAAAAAAAAAACAGAGTTGCAGAGACAATGATTTGCATCGAGATTCATGGGAGCGCTGTGCAGCTTGGCAGGGCCGCAAGACGCCAGCACTAAAGACTCCCGAGAGTTTTGGCTGCCTTCTGCGTAGAGTTCGCCTCCCTGTCAGCGAGCAAACCCCGTGGCCGACACGACCTTCCGCACCTTGACACTCTTTTAGACCCAGTCCGCAACAGACTTGGCATGTTATGTCCATTGGCCCCATTTCGGCCCCCCTCTCTGACACCCCAGATATTTTCGGCCCCACCTCTCGGGCGAGTGCCGCTCCTGAGCGTTCCTCTCGGGCGAGTGCCGCTCCTGAGCATTCCACTCACAATTGCTGCTTTGAGAAGGATCAAACAATTTGTGTGCTTTGAGTGTATGCCTCTCGAAACTCCGCTGGCATGGGAAGCACTTCAGGTCTGCTGCGGTGTGTTTTGGAGCTCCTCTCATGCCTTCAAAACATACAAAGCCATAAGCCACAGCCAAACACACTTTGGCACCCAAACCTCTCCTCCGCTGTGAGAGGCCTCGCTCGGACCTTGACCGCATGCATCGGTACCTCAGACGGGATCTGCGAACTCCATCCTCAAATGGCTGTGGGTCAAAACTCTGTACCCCTTGTGAACATCGAAATAGGTGGTACCTGGGTCTGGGTGTTCATCCGCCAAAAAGTGGAGGCATAGGTTATGATAGGTTATGACCCATGGCCACATTGTCTGCCCCATCGGACCCCAAAGAAGACTTCCAGGCCCTGGGCCGAAGAGCTGGGACTAGAAACACGTCTGAGCTGATGGGCTCGGGTCCCGGCGCGGTGGACGCTGGCGCTCTGCGGCCGGCGCGGGCCTGCCAAGTCAAAGCGAGCCGCTCGGAGCGCATAAGAAGACATGCGAAACTTTTGGGAGGGGAGAAATGATGCTTGGCGAAAGCAAAACCAAAAGGGATAAACAAAAACATTGGGGTCTTCTTTCTAGAACATCAGCTGGTCCTTTTCTGGCGCTGTCCTACATCCGCACGTTTGAAATGTGCGGCTTTTGCTCAAGCGGCTATAGCACCATCTTCAGAGGCGCACGTGTCACGAGGTGCAGAAAAGGTCAACGCTCACTCCCAGTAAGTTGCTTATAGCCCAAGGTATGTTGGACAAATGGAGCTGTATGATGAACTATGAGCAGTTTGGCTCGCACCTGGAGTTGGAGTTGTGGGTCTGCTCGAAGCCTCTTGCTCCTCGTGCAATAGATGCCCTTACGTCTAAGACAATCCCATGAATTCAGCTGTCCTTGCTCAAACTCGGAGTTGCAGGGCTGCTGTCGGCCACACGATCCTTGTGCAGCAAGAGAAGCGCCCTCCTGACGCGGAAACGAGCAGAGGGTGAACTCTGAACCCCTCACCAGACCACAGGCTCCTGATGTCTTCAAACTCCTTTTCCACCTCGCTGGCCAAAAAACTCAACTCCCCAAGAGCTGCATCACTTCGATCCCTCGCCGAATCGGCTCTGGGAAGACGGCAAACTCACAGAGGTTGTTGAACTTCACCGCTTGCTTTGTGTGATCAAACATCATGGTCATCACCTGCCATTCCGCATGAGACTGTGAGGTTTGGTGATCAAAAAAAGTTTGCTGGCAAGCCAAGGGAGGTGCATCAAGCTTCGTTGCCGCTCCCTTCAATCTCATGGTGCCGTTCCTCAGATGGTGCCATCCTCCCAAACGTTTGCCCATCCAATACGTGGTCGCACCCTTGCCTTTGAAACTGAATCTACTCCAAAGCACGTGGTCTGTGCTGTCTGTGCAACGTTTATGTATATATATATATACATATATAAACATGGCAGATACAAAGCGAGTTCAATGCATCGGCCGTTCCGCTGCTCTGCCACATCACTCTCAAGCATCCATCTGCCGGAGAAGGAAAAAGAAGGAAAAAACACATGTTGGCGGTCATTCTTCCCTTAGGGGAAACAAACAGAAGGGCAACACCAGCCTCGGAATACCAAGGTAATCTTCAAATCCAAGATTCACAAACTCGTCAATCTTGAGCTCTTCGCTCTTGTCCGCGTCCAGAATCGTGAATATGATGGATGCCTGCATGCAGCGTTGAAGAATCACTGGTGGCGCCCATGGATTAGATCCACGGCTTGCCAGACTCACTGGCCACGTGTGTAAACTGGGAGCATTGAATCCACATGAACCCAGCATTTGGATTCATTCGGAGCGTGCCAAGCCAAAAAATAAACGGGGCCACAATTGGAGGGTTCCGACCAGAACGGAACGCCTGCCCCGCCCCAATGGCCCACCTCTGACGGATCAATGTCAAGGCCAGAGAAGTAGGCCTGACGCCAAGGGGCGAAACAAACGGCAACATCAAAACGGTGAGGTCCGAAAACTGAAAATGGTCCCACATAGGTGCATGCCACCACACACTTGCACGTTCACTTTTTGTCTTTGTGTATATTAGTTTGTGATGAACTACTCAATCACTTCATTTACTTATGTTTAAAATCAGGCGCTTTCTTGCTTGTGCTTATAGTCAAATTCCAACGCATGTATTTGTTTAGGTGATTGATGTCTGCTAACTGTAGCTATTTAGTTCGCATGCATACTCATTCACGGCTTTACTTGTGTATATGTGTCGCTATTCATCCACTCATTCCCTCATTCACTCAGTCACTCATTCACTCACTCACTGACTCACTTCCTGCCTCCCTCGCTGACTCACTCACTCACTTGCGTACTCACTCGCCGACTCGCTCACTCACTGTGTTCACGCATTCATGCATTCGTGCATTCATGCATGAATTCACTCTCACTCGCTCACGCACTCGCTCGCTCGCTCAACTCGCTCAACTCACTCCGCTCCACTCCACTCCACTCCCCTCCCCTCCCCTCCCTTCCCTCCCCTCCCCTCGCCTCCACTCCCTCCACTCCGCTCCACTCCACTCCACTCCACTCCACTCCACTCCGCTCCACTCCGCTCCACTACTCCACTCCACTACTCCACTACTCCACTACTCCACTACTCCACTACTCCACCACTGCATCACTCCACCACTCCACACAACTCCTCACCACTCCACACCACTCCACACAACTCCACTCCACTTCACTCCCCTTTACTCCGCTCCACTGCATGTGCCACTCCATGTGCCACTCCGTGTGCCGCTCCGTGTGCATGTTGCTATGTGCATGTGCGTGCGCGAGTCCGAGTCCAAGTCCGAGTCCGAGTCCGAGTCCGAGTCCGAGTCCAAGTCCGAGTCCGAGTCCGAGAGCGCGCGAGCGCGAGCGCGTCTGCGTCTGCGTCTGCGTCTGCAACTGCGTCTGCGTGCGCGTGC